CATGTCATGTTAAATTAAAATGATTTTTTATTTTTAATGTCAAAGTGATACATGCTTCATATGCACAGTCTGATCACACACAAAGCCTTTAGTCCACCAATTAGGTAATGGTGAAATGGGAACCTCATGTATTAAAAGAGACAGACCTGGACAGTCTGGGACATTAAAGCCACCCAAGCTTGAAGGTTAGCAGATTAAAACAAATCACATCTCTCTGAGAGCTGAGAGTTGGCAGGATGATTTGATCAACAGCGTTAAAGCAGCAGAGCAGTTTGGCTCCGACAGCAAGGTGCTACTGTGTATTTTGAATGATACTGTGTGCTGAAATGTGGCTGTTGTATAGCCTCTGGAGCATTGATGTCACATGGCTGAGGGAGCTGAGGGGGCTCTCAGATTACAGGATTAACATAAAGGGATGCAGTATGGGTTAAGAAGGGGGAAACCAGCACAGGAGCAGACAAAGGAAGCATTTCTTCTAATATATTTTGCCTGATTAACACAGAGCTAGAGAAGTTCCACTCATTCAGGATGCTGAAGTGTTATAAATTTGGTCTGAACACAGAACCTGAATGCAAAGCTTTTCTGCTTTTCTGCACCATGCTTGTTTTGAGTACAGTTTTGTCTGAGGAAAGTTCAACTGTCGACAAGTCATTCAGGCCCTATAATAAGACTTAATATAATACATTAAAGTCTGAATGAAATACGAGATGATTTTGCACTCAGTCTCCATTAAAAGGCAAGGTAGTGTCTACCCTTTTTAAAAATAGTAAATTGTATTACCCCTCTTACATAAGGGTAATCTAATTTCTGTCCCATCTTTCCTCATTACGGAAACCTCGTGATCTTTACACATCTCCTCTGCACACAGAAACATGATCACAGGTTAGATTAGTTCTGCTTTAGTCAAACCTGTTTCCAGCATCAGGAGGAAAAACTTTAAAACATCCAAAACAGGATAAGGTGGGAGATAAAGAAGCAAACTCACCTACTCAAAAAGCTTGCTGGTGATGTTATAAATGAATGCTTTAATGTAACAAACAGTTATAAATCAGAGCTGTTGGTTCATAGCAGAAAGCCGAACTATGCCATCAAAAGACGAAGACTGAACAACTCTCTTTATTTGCAGATCATTCAGCTGTTGTTTTGGAAGTAGTGAACTTCACCTTTTTTCCCCATGAGAAGTGATAAAGTGATAATTTCCCCTTTTAGATTATAAATAAAATGTTCATAATAGTGTTTTCCTTTTTGTTCCAGATCCAAGTAGCACAAACGACTATTGAAAAAAATATGCATGGGGGTGCAAACTGAAGGGAGGATAGAAATTAAAAAGCAGGTTAAAAGGTTGTTGCTTTTTTTTTTTTTTTTTAAGACAAGGCTGACAAACTAGTTCTGCAGAGAGAATCTCCAATTCCCACCCATCTGCCCCCACCACCACAACCAATGTTAGCATTCTTCCACAGGTCAAACCTTCAAGCAGAGGTTAGATTTGGGGCATAGAAGGAAAGTACTTGAAAAAGAGTTCTTAACTTTGTTATCTGGGTGCTATTTTAAGTTTAAGTTTGACATAATAAAAAAAAACAAAAAAAAAACGACGGTTTATTTATAGAGACGCAAACAAAACAACGTGCTATGAACCAATAGACATTGCTTTTAATTTCTCAAATGAGAATCTGTAGAATTTTTCTTTTTTTTTTTTTACTGCACGTATTTCTATTCTAATTAAGGTCTCCAGATAAACCAGTACCTTCACCACTCTGATTGTACAGCCCTCTTTTGCTACTTTTCACACAATGTAATCATGTATGACATTTCATAAGGTTATTCCTTATAGGGAGGCAATTTCTCTTTACAAATTTTTTCTAGAATTTTAAGTTGGGGGTCCTGATTTGCTCTTGCTTTCTACTGATTTTCTATAGGTTTTAGGCCATTTGTGCCGACTAAATCACATCCCTGGGAATTTAGTGTATTGGATCATTATCTGTTAAAAGTGGGCAAGGGGTTTTAAGTTTCCTGGTCGATTCAATTCAATTCAGTTTATTTATAAAGTGCCAATACACAACACATGTCATCTCAAGGCACTTTAAGGTTCACAGTGTAGATGGCACAAAATTTGTATTTAAGAGATGCTGGTATTTTAAAGAGTCCAGATGCTATTGATTTTTATACGGTTACTGAGTCTTTAAATGGCAGTGCTCTCCCACATATTTACTATAAGATGCACTTCAAACATACCTGCAGTGTTTGTTGCTGGGAAGCTCAATCTCATGAGGAATGCACGAATTTGAAAATCTGGGCCGATATATCAATATCCGATGCTAACATTCTCATTATGGCCGTTAACCGATATATATTTTTCTACTCTTTGAACACTGTGGCTGTGTCTGAACATCCGCCCTAACCCCTTAATCAATATATAGAGCTGGGACTATATATTGGACTTTATAGTTCTCTCTGCTAACTGAAGCCGGGCATACACTTTGTGATATTTTTCATTGTTGCACACAGCTACAGTCTAAACTGTACGACGAAACCGAAGGGTTTAAAAGTTCACAGCTCACAATGTATGTTCTCACACTGCGGCCCGATGTTCTGATGCGAACTTGATTTCAAACATGTTCTTGCACGACTGAAGAATGGGCCTGAAAAGAGCAAAAAATGCTACCATGTATGCCCTGCTTGACCGTTCTGACAAATTATTCCTACTTTTTGCTCCTGGTTGGTCTCATGACTTCGGCTCCCCTAAACAAATCCCATGAATGCTCTCCTTGCAAAGCATTCTAGGATATATCTGCTCTTCTAGTGACCATGGATGTATCCTACTTTTCAAGGTGCATTGTGGGAAGTTTTGAATCCACTACTTTCTCATCCACTAGACATTCGGCATATATGGTTCTCTAAGTAGGAGTTAGGGCGGATGCTCGTACACACCCCATGACAAACCAACTAGAAAGCTGACATTGCCTTTCTGCTAAACACCCATAATCCCAAGCTGCATCACAATTACTGTCACACGACCAAACAAAACAGCCATTGCATTGTAATAAACATTTATCCAGTGTTACTGATCGCAATGATATCGATAAACTTAAAAATGTCTACTTGAGTAGTGTTTAGCAAGCTCCATATAATTGCATTTATGATAGCAGGGCAAATGGCGTCGATAAAAACTTATGGTAATGATGACTTGGAGAATCCAAGACGAAGCTATTTCCTTCAATTTTTCTATTTTATCCCTCCATATAGGATTCTTACCGTCACTGAGGTCAGAAGATATGTCTGTGCTTCCAGTTACTGGACAGCAGTTAAAATAAATAGAACCTCGTATGGTATGATGACTGTAGCTAAGGGAAGCAGTAAGTTCATAAAAACAGGTATGCTTCACAAATCATACATTAAAACTGCTTCAGTCAAGATATTTCTATACAAACTGTCTGGTGGCAAGTGCTTATTTAATTAAGACACTTCAGTAAAATAAGGGTTGGATTTCTTGAAATTTTCCAGATAACATGAAGCTGCAATAAAAGATGTATTCATTTGAAGGCTTTTTTTTTTTTTTATGGTGCCAATAAATGTGGGTGGAACAGTGCAATATATCTCCTAGGTGTCCAGCGATGATGCATAATATTTGGTAAGAGTGTCCCTTTTTTTATGAGAGAAAAATGGATTTGTAGTAAAGAAGGAAGTAATGAAAAGCAACAAAGTACAGGAAAGATCAAAACTGACCATAAAAAAAGAAAATCATTTGATGAGCTAAGATATGAATAACAGAATTTGATGGACTGAGATAAGTAAACCATCAACAGCTAACATCTCTATCTTGTTCTGCGGTAGGAAAGGTAAACACTGCTGTGTGCACAGCTGCTCACGGTCAAACAATACTCACCAATCTATTCCTCATAAATAAAATAAAAAATGCAACTCAACAGATCATCAATACAATATTATAAGGAGTATTGTAATATTTCCTAAGATAACCCGAGAAGCAGGATGAGCTTAAAAAAAATCTCTGCCTCCCCTCAGTTGCTATGGTAACCACAGCAGAGGGGGACTGGTGCAAGCTGGGTGGGTGATTTAATGTAAGCCCCTTTCCAATGCACATTACCCTCCTTTTTAATCTCTTTTGGATGCTTATAGAGGAAGAAAATAGGATTGTCTCTCTAATTCAGGAGACAAAAACAAGTAACATAACCATTAAGGATTACAGTGTAAAAACCCAGCTTCATCACTACAAGGCACGGCACAATCCGACTGAATTACAAAGAGTAGCTGTCAGTTCCTTTGTGATGCATGTGATGTGGAGTACACACAGCCTCCTGGGAGCAAACCGGAGGAGAGTGGGCAGGGGCAGGAAATGACAGAGGAGGACGAGTGGACCTGTCTCAGCTCAAGGTGACTTTCTCTCTCTCATTGACCTGATTATTTCTACACCACCCCCCTCCAATCATGGAAAAAAAAAAAAAAGTATGCCACCCTCCCTCTCATCCACACTCACTTTACACTGATAATGGGAGAGAATTCTGTTAGGAGGAAGCTGTCTGTACGAGAGAGCGCATACTTTTACCACCGCCTCATCCCATCACCAGAGCAGCCTTGTCATTACGGGGCATTCCCTGCATGCACGGCACAACTCTCCCACCGAGAAATCTGCCCGGGGCTCAAACGGGAGAGCCGTGTCATCCTCCCCCCTCTGTCCAGTTACTACGGCAACACCGCTCCCTGCAGCAGCACCTCTCAATTAGACAGACATGACACAATCACCTACGTATTGGTGAGAGGAATCCAGCTGACGCTCTGGTGGGGGAGAGATAAATCAAACCAGCAGTCACAACTCCGCTAAGAGACCCTTGCGGACTGATAGCCTCTAACTATCTACTGGTCACATGCAGTCCATGCTCACATTCCATTCAGCAGATAGCCGGCTTCAGCTCCAGCTCTCTTCGCTTTCCTTGTGTTCATTTGATTATAGGGTATAAGAGACAGATTTATAAGGCTCGTCTTACCCTGTCCTGCAGAGAGCTTGCCTCTGCTTCTCTGGGCATTCCCTTTATATCCTGTGCTCACTGCAGCATCCAGCTCTCTGCAGGGTTGACATAAATAAAACGTGTGTAATCCATGTAGGTTTTAAGTCATCTGTTTGTTGGCAATAAGCACCTTTCCAGAAGTGGCCTAAAAAAACAGCCAAGAAGAAAATCCAAGTTATAAGGGGGATGGCTTTCTGTGATATCTAGGGGGCAAGTAGAATAAACCGGCCCTAAAGAAAACCATTTGAGATCCTGCAAGACAGCCAGCTGGTCAGCGAGAACTTCTTGGGAGATCTTCTCCCTCCCCAGCCTCCTTCTCCGCTCCCTTTCTCTGCAGAATGCTTAGGGGGCAAAGGGGACAGGCACAGATGTTACTGACTTCAAGCCACACCCCTTTTCAACACTCCCAGTTTTAATAGGATGCAGCCGAGCAGTGGCCGCCGCCCAGCCCACTCCCTCCCTCCCTCCCTCCCTCCCCCACCTTTTAGACAGGACTGTGGGAAGCTTGTTTAGTGAAGTCTTGTTTGGAAAGCCGCAAAATCAGAACAGCACAAAGGTGTAAAAGCTGTAGTGGAAATGTGAATGTAACCGAGACACGAGCAGCAAAAATCTCTAATAAATAACAAAAGTTACTATTGTTCTCTATCTTGATATTCCGATTCTTCAAAAACACGTTTATGATTACCTGGAATCCCTTTTAAACATGGAGCACATGGTAGACTATTTTTATGTAAACAATTCCCGACACTCCCACATACTTTACAACACAAGCATTTCAGCTAATTGCTGACTAATAAAAATCCAGTATCCAACTGCAAGAAACTAAATTTCCACTCTGGCATGTCAATCCTTTTTTAAACATTTCTTCTTAAGTAGAATGTTTGGGTGAGTCTTTAGCACTAACTATTATCATTAATCTTTCATCTCTGAAGAAGGTAAAAAGAAACTCAGACATGTCCTCATAAAGGAACAGCTGTGTTCTACCTGATTCAGGTCCTACATGTTTCCTGCCAGCTGTTGGCAAAAGTTATATCATCCATTATTCATTGACGTATTTGCTTTATCCTAAAGTTGAGTCAAGCATTGCTGCAGGACACAAATGCAACAACACGTCACAAATTTGGAAACAACATAAACAACTCACTGCATATCCTTGATTTAAGGAAGCGATTTTAATATCACACATTTCTGATACAAAGAGGAGCTTTTGGAGCAACTCTTACAGAAATGAAAACACCATATGTGAACACCATTTGAGTGAGATGTGGAAAAAAAAAGACCTAATCAGCTCTTTTAAAATATTATTTCTACACCTTTATCTGTGATAATTATGTGAAGCAGTCACAATTTTTGCTCAATATTTTCATTCATTTGATTCAGACAAGCAGTAATTCCATCTAACTGTGATAGGAATTTTCAGGAAACTAAAAAACAAAAAAATTGTAGAAAAAAAAATGCGAATTAGACACACTTCCTTGCCTTAGAGGGCATTATTGAGCCATACTTTGATGCTATGCTTTGATGTAGTGAACCGGAAATAGAATCAACAAGCTAGCATAGACCAAAGATCAGTGGAACACAGAGGTTTTATACATGTGTAGTAATTGAGCCAGACTTTATTATGTTAGCTAGGATTAGTGATGGTTAACATCAGATAACAGTGATGGCTGCTGCTCTCTGAAACAGGGGAGGCTTAATGGTGTTAATTAAATTGAAATGTCATGTATTGCTTCAACAAATGTTGAAACACATAAAACACAACTGGTGAAAATAGCTGTTGTGAAGAACTCCGGATAATAAACTCCAGAAACCACAGAAAGAATTTGGGTAATAACGACTGCTTTTATCACTTTTCCCTCTCAACTCATGAGGAAAACCTCCCCACTGTCTGGCCACTGACAGCCAAAAATCCTTAAGTATCTTCTCCAGTCAGCATCGAGCAGACAGCTTCACCAACCGCCCGTGCCAAAGACCCCCTAAAAGGTTTAGCCTCACTGGAAGTGGTGTATTTTAAAGTCTTATCCAGAGAGTGCTCTACTTTCTCGCTGCTTTCCTGAATAGACCGATGCTCAAACCTCAACAGAATTTTCTCATAGAGACTGAACAAACCTGAGCGGTGGGGAGATTGTGTCCCCACCGCGGGCTCAACAGCTGATTAATGCGCAGCATTAATGGGGAGAGTGTTGGCCTATTGTTTAGTGCAAGGCGCTTGTGCTCTGAGAAGGTGCAAGTACCCGTTTCGATACCCACAGAATGCACTCTGTGTCCCTGAGCAAGACCCTTAACCCCACACTGCTCCCCGGGTGCCGCACAGTGGCAGCCCACTGCTCCCAAGGGGATGGGGTTAAATGCAGGGGTGAATTTATCTAGTGTGAGATTAATAGTTAAATTATTATTATTATATTAGTATACTCATGAAATCAGGCACATTTTAGCACATATTTTCACATATTCATATTTTACCAATATTTTTAAAAAATTTGACAGGGGAGGGGTTTAGCCTTCCTAGTATTCAATGAGAAATTGCCACTGCTAGAGACATAAAGAGAGAAGAGTGATTCTACTGCTGCATGTGGCAGCCTGCCGAAAAAGCTGATTATTCTTGTGATGCAAAAATTTTCAACTTCAGAACTTATTAAAAAAAATATTTTTCTATCTCCTCTTTCTATATTACATTTATGCTTTTTTTTTTTTTGCAAAAATCAAAAATCACCTCAAATGATCGTCAAAACTTAGTGAGTTTATTCAAATGTTACCGTTTCCATCAACCACGCCTAATGCTACACTTAATAATGCACAAAGGGAAAAAAAAGGTTGATGGAAACACAGATTTTTGCTCTATGTCTGAGCTAAAGGAGTTACAATTCCAGCTGCCACACTAGCTTCAATCAAAATCTTCCTGTGATTAAACAAACTTTAGGCAGACTGGGACTGTTCCCACAACAAACCTTTGAAAAGGGGAAAAACATTGAGAGCTTGCTTTAAAGGTATTTAAAAAAAAAGACTAAGGGGGGGTAGATTGAGGGATGAAGAATGAAGGTTTAATATCTGCACCTAAACACCAAAGAAGCAACAGAAACCCCATGAAACAGACTTCCTTCATGCTTTTCTTTCCTCCAGTGGTGCATGTTGCCCCCAAAATGTTCTGTTGCAACTGCATCATATTTCTTTTTGGGTTCAGTCTAAAAATCTGTGTGAAAGCAGAACTGATCCCTCCATTAGACAAGCAGAATCAACGCACCGTTGTAGAGTTTAAGGGCCATCTTTGTTCACAGTATCATCTTTTGACAGCTACATTACTCAAGAAGAAAAGAGCGCAAGACTTCCAGATGCAGCCCTACTTTAATTCCACAGCCATCAGTATATACGGTTTTCAGGTAACATAGTTGTTGCTAGACAAGGGCCTTCAATTATGTGCATCCAAGTGGCAAAGCTACGCCAAACCGGAGCAGAAGTTACTGTAGCTACTTGAACACTATCAGAATTAAAAGGTTTTCACTTACAATATTATTAAAAAGAGACATTCACCACTAGGATGAAAAACAAGCCAGCCATAGTGTGCTACAAAAATCCCCAACTAGGGTGCTGATCTCTTAGGTCTTCAAGCTACTGCAATCAAATTGGACTTTGCCATCATTGCTTTCTTAGCTGAATTGATGCCAGTTTATTTCTCCATGTGTTGCATCATCATTCTACTGCAACTTTAACTTGCTTTATGTTCTTCTTTAAAATGCTTTTTTTTGTATTTTTATTTAATGAAGAAATACCAGATGACATACTGGATTAGTTGGCAAAGTTACTTTTCAAGTTTCCAGATTGTTAAAAGTTCAATCTTATAACAGCTGCATTTCCTCACCACTTAGAGATGCCAGCTTGTAAAGCTGCCTTCATCTTCAAGCCTTCTGAAGCATTTCCAAGTCCCACATTGAATCTGGCTGATACTATTCATCATCCACTGAGAAACGCTGAAACTTTTCCTGTTTAAGTTTGGAGCTTTGAAACACAGACCCAGGTCTGTGTGAAACAGATTACCTCCACTATGCTGTTATAACAGACATCATTGGCGAGCTGTGCTAGTGCAGTCATGAATGGATAACAGTGGAAGCCGTACAGTCCTGGACAGCTGCCTCTGAAAAGAATGGCATGCAGCTGGAATAACAGACAGGACCTGTTCCCATGGAGGACTTCTGTTCTGGTGGGATGTTTCTCCTCTGTTAGTAAAGCGCCACCACTGATGTTTTGTTGACCTTATGCTCACCTGGTGCACCAGCAGATGGACACACACCGAGCATGATGACAGTTTTCACGACTGCTAATATTATCCTACACTTGTGCACTTTATTAATATGAGGTTAAAACAACAGAAGCATATCAGAGCAAACCAGCTGACATCATCAGTTTTATTCTTGATAGAAAAAATAAAGTCAAACATCAACAACTCTGAATATTTCCCACCCCAGTTTTTAAAGGGGGCAGCATATTATTTTACATCTTTTAGGAGCTGGAGAGAAAGCCATTTAGATTGATTGACATAAAACATGGTAACCTCCATGTTACAGCTTGAGGCATTAGTTAGATTTGTGGTAATGACTGAAGACGAGCCATTTGTTATTTGAAGAGATTCTAGAAAGGGGAGAAGCAGCTCAGGAGAGACAAAAACAGATCTTATCATTGCCTTTGGGGCGCCCCATGCCTTAGATAAATTAAATAAAATCAGAGCTTAAAGCTGCTGACGGATGAAAACTGCTTGAATTTCTACTCAAATGTGAGAAACTAATCCTTACCCTAGAAGAAACGTATTTATGATAGTTTAATTTTTTGAAAAAGTCTTACAGTATTTTTTTTACAGTGATTAATGGTTTTCCTCATTGCTCCAACACATTTTCAAGTCAGAATTTCAAACAAAAACAAAACTAAAGGTTACACTCTCATTTTTAACCTATTTTAAAAAGAATAAATACAAAAGTTAACCGTGAACTCTCAGCAGACTTGATATGTTATCTACCTGGATAGATGGTTCGATTACAAGTATTTCTTACTAACCATAATTTCAATACTTGTCAAAAATTCTTACTAGACTTTTTCATAACATAGGAACCCCTAATGTTGGAGATGTGGTTCAAGTACAATGAAAATAAACATAACTAATGTTTATCTATTGCATATAAATTTGAACTAATTCTCCCAAATAAATACATTTGAAATAAAGCTCCTCTATTTGCAAAGCCAGGGACGCATACTGTGAATGGTAAAAGCACTGGAGAGGATCCATTTGTGCAAGGGTGGGGCTGTATCTATAAATTCTAACCATGCAGCCCTTCCCTTGAAGGAGACCCCATCATTGACAAATTAAATACCAGCA